AAATATCGTTCTCTCTGACCGACACTGAATATATGGCTAATGTGTGTAATACTAACCTTTAATGAGACTCCTTAGCTACCTTGGTATATTTATACTTGCATCTTAAGGCTACTTAGCAGCTTTCTAAATATTTATATAGACTACTTAGCTTGTTTGACATTCTACTAACATCTATAAAGGCTCCTTAGCTTTCTTGCTATATTTCTACTACCGGTAATGTCTATAATGGCTTCTTAGCTTTATTGATAATTTTTTTGCTGATTATCCCAAAAATATGAAGTGAATTACGCCTATGGATGTGTTTAATACAAATGTTATTATACCATAGACCTGTTTTCTAAGGGTTATGATTATACACAGTATATCATTTACTATCATAACCATAAATACTATCATCAGTTCATTTTTAAAGTAGTGTGTTAATACCTTTGCCACATGATACCCAAGGTATATCTCTGAGTTCATAATAGGTTCTTTGTAATGGGATGTGACAGCCGCTTCACCTCAACATGTGACGGCCGCGTCATGTGATCATGTGACAGATGTGAAATCACCATGTATGGGATTTCATTTATAATCGTAGTGTTACAATAATGCACTATTGCTAATTGTCAGTTAAATCTGAATTGTTTGTAATTTAATAATTTTCGTATTGGCTTAATTTTCTTATAAATCTGCCTGAACCGTCCCTATATGTCGAAAATGACTTGTAAGGCCAAATCGAAGAAAATCTCTGTTTCCAGTAACCATATCTACCAATTTTGAGGAAATAATGAAAAAAATATATTATGCAAATGAGATTAAAATTATTTATTTATATGCAAGTTATGGTCATTCCACCAATGTTGTATTTTTTGATTTTATGTACTTTTTACAATGTAGTGAATGCCTAGCATCAACATATTACGAAGATATATTCTGAAAATTAATTTTTCACGTCTGTAGTTAAACCAAGTTTATGTTCTCACAAAAACCTTTAAGTACAACTCATTTAGGAGAAAATAAAATAAATAAATATTAAAAATTAAAACAAAAGCCCTGCCTACCTATCTACCCAAATTTTTTTTTAGGCCGGTAATTTCAAATTTGTTTTATTTGGTTTAAGCCCCTTGCTCACTGCAGTACAATTGTTTTGGGTGAGGCTGTACAATCTCTTCACAATGGTCTGATCTCAATTCACTGCAAGATCCTGTGTTATGCATGCAATCTATTGTGAATACAGTTCAAACAAAGGTCATAACATCATAATGGTGTCAAAACATTTTGTGGTGTTCGACCACACTTAATAATGTGCTACACACATGATGGGTAATTTTGCTGAAGTAATTGTATCTCCATGTCAAGAAAGATCTCGTCATTTCAACATTATCTATTAAGAGTACCGGTAATATTGTCTCTTGTGGATTGTGATCTGTGCAATTAAAGATGGGCAATCTGATCACTACACAAATGACATGCCCTGTCTAAAGCTCCTCAATGTATTCTCGCCATTTATATAATATTGATGTTTCCAGTTACAACACAAGTCACTTAAGAAACGTGTGCGTCTGGGTTTTTTCCTTAATTTTAGAGAGAAAAATAATTTTAATGAAAAATCATCAATTCAATTTCGAGATAAAAATAAAAAAAACTGCCTGCATTTAAAAAAATTAATTAATTGACCAGAAACATTTTTTTTTATATATTTATAATTATATAATTATATATATATATATATATATATAATATATATAGATGATTGGTAGTGTATTTTGTTTTGTCATTCTTATTTCAGTGTTTTAGTACACTATTTAAGAAAAACAATATAAATATAATGTGCTTCTGTTTTTCTGTGTTTTGGTACAATTTTATACACCTTTGAACACTGCAAATTATACGATTGCTAAAAAAAATGGATTTACAGTGTGTTGACATTGACATTTTTTCCATTTATTCAACAATTTTAATCGTGTAGTTTGCTAACTGCCTTTAGTATTTTGCTGATTAAACAGCAGTTTTGTCAAAATTCACAATAGAGGGCAGTCACATGAGAAGACACCACTAAACTAGAGGTTTGTGCTACACAGTGTGAATACTGCCATATAATAATCACTGGTAACACCTTACAAATACCAAGGAAAATGTTAATAAACAGTAACTCATCAGCATACAGTCATGACATATTTTGAGACTGCAGTTTTAATATAATAATTTTATTTTATGAAACCTGATGTGTGTGGATAAATATTTAGTGTGGCTGTCTAGGGAGATTGTGGATTTAACTCAAGTGATCGGCTGCACTCTTAGCAGTTGAAACAGAGTACATTCTACCCACTTGTCAGTCTTGTATCATCTCCAGTTGGAGGGAACATAAATCTGTTGGTCACATGTGCTGTGCTTACCCTTAGTGCATGTTAAACATCGCAGAATTCTTGGTCCAACATGATTTGGATTACCACTACTTATATCAAGAACTTCCTCCCATTCCTGAACTGGAATTGGCTTTGCCCATTGAATATCGTCTGATTTATACCTTTTCGCTGAAGCTCACCATTCATGGCCATCTCTACGAACCCGTGCATCATCGTGTTAAGAAAAGCTGTATTTAACCCTTTATGATTTGATTGACAAAAACATGCAACCTTGTTTTTTGGCTTTGAATTTACATTGAAACCCATCACAACACATGACTTTGTCTTCTATTTACCATGGAAATGCACCAGAGCATGCATCATTGTTTAATTTCGTTGATAGTGAATACAGGTTAATGAGGGGAAATTTTCAAAGGTATAATGTTGAGAAAACGACTGAATAAATGAAATTTGGCTGGCAAAGATGCCTGTTGAATTGCATAATTAATAAATAAACAAACAAAAATTGACTAGTATTTCTCAAATTTCTGAATTTACATGTGATCTTATCGTGGTGTTCAGTTTTCTTGTGAGAATATTGGCTTAATATTTAATTTTTGTTTGTTTTTCACAGTTTGGTGGTTTCTCATCAGATTCTCTTGCTGGACGAATATTAGATGCAAAATGTGGAACACTAGTCACTGCCGGTAAGTTTTAGTAGTGGTAACCACTGTCAATTGCAATACTGTGAGTACCTATAGGGGATGTATGATATATATTTGATGCCATTCAACCATAGACAAGAGGGTTATGGTTCAACTGTAGATACATGTATATTCATTCTAGTTATTTTCTGATAGACGCATGCTTTCAAATAGATGCTCTATATATTGAAATATTTGCATATATATTGAGAGTTTATTTATAGATTTATCACATGATCACTTTTAACCAATCATAGGTGCATGCAATTATTTGATAGGCAGAGGCTCAGTCACTGGTTTATGGCTGTCAGTGTACATGCCTTTAGGCCAAAACAAAATGTTTGGCTTTTCTTCATTGATTGCATCAATTGGAAACCTAAACTCACATTTTTTTGCATATAAGTATCAGTGCAATGCGCATACGATGGGAAATGTTTATTGCATATGTATTTCTGTTTCAGAATGCTATCAATCAAATCAATTGAAATAGATATGTTACCTCTTTAATGCATGTATTAAATATTATATGTTGATCATGGATATTGTTGTTCAAAAAAAAATGAATTAATTTTTCCTGGGACGAAAAGCAAAATGATTTTTGTTGCCTTTAATAACATGTAAAGCTGATGAGCCACATTCAGGCAGCACTCCTCTGACTGAATTTGTTAACCAATTAGAGCATGCCTTACTTAAAATGACCATATATGTAACATTAGTTCTAATTGCATATGCTCAAAAAGTAAAAGTACGATAGTAAAATTAAATGTCACTGAAAATAAATGGTTTTACAGTACTTGCTGGCTGATCTGATTTGTTGATTTTTCTTTGTCTTATCAGATGGTGTATACAGAGGTCCCAAACTGATTAATTTGAAGGAGATAGCTGATGGTGCTATTGAGAAATGTAAAGAACAGTAAGTAGACTCAAATTATACTGGTGTAATAACTGCTGTGTCTATGGTTATATATCATTTTTTTTGTGTCCCTTTACGCCAACCTGAAACACGGGTAAATATGTATTTAAAAAAAATGGTATCAGCATATTGGTAACGCCATTGTGAAGGGCATGACCCCTTAAAAGGGGGCAACACTTGCGACGACTTATTTTTATTTCACTATACTTTATACTTTACCAGAATAATGCAGTTAGTTTTCTACAAAAAAGTTATCAATAAAGTCTTGTATTATGTCAGACAGCATTGACCCCTCCCCCATACACTGCAACTTAGGGAAATTTGTTATTCTGCTAGGGAGTTAGTTTGACAGCCTATCTTGAAAAATTAAACTCTACAATTTGTACATGAAAGTTATTTTTCGCTTTGATTTGTTTTCCAGGGATTTTAATATTAAGAAGTGCATTGTGGTACGCCATGTTGGTTCCTCGGCTAATGGTAGCGGTGATAGATCTTCATCTCCAGAGGCTAAAAGACCATGTAAAAATATGAAGGTATTAATAAATGTATTCTACTCAAATTTGTAACTGAGCTAGAAGATTGACTTAATAAGGGGACTCCAACAACCAAGTAAATAATTAGAGGTTATTTATGGGTAATGTTTCCTGTTACCCATCCTCAAGCAGCAATCATGGGTGATATCGAAGATAAAATGTCTCGAGGGAAAATTCAAACATACGAATAAATGCTGATACAGATTTTTTACGGATGACAAATTTTATTGATTTCATTGCTAGATGTATAATAATACAATGTAAACTCATAGTTGCTGTAGACATAGAAAGTAAAGTAAGCAAATAACACAGAATAAACAGCAAGGTAAATACTACGTCAAATTATAGTAAACATGTACTGCGTGCGTGACGAGAACCAGCGCTCGCGTGCAGCACCTGATCACCTAGTTTCACGCCACTACACATCATCCCCTCGGCCACTGGGCATTCCCAAAAATAGATGTTTATTACGTGCAGAAAGCATGAAACTTGTCCACGCGATCCGTGCCACACAGCGTGACAAGAATGCAGCAAAGGCCTTTCATATCTGGCTGTACTAGGATTGTGAAAGTAATGGTACAGCATTATAACAGTGAATAAGTACTGAGAAATAATTGTAAACTCATAGTTGCTGTAGACATAGAACGTAAAGTAAGGTCTCTTAATAATACAATGTACATGTTTGTATTTCACTAGACACCATGGAATTCTGATATAGATATATGGTGGCATGACTTGATGTCTGGTGTCAGTGACCAATGTGAACCTGAATGGATGGGTGCAGAGGAACCACTCTTTATGTTGTATACAAGGTACATTTCTTTTTACTTTTTAAAATTAAAAGAAATCTTAATGCCCTGTTCAGTGTAACAAAATATGGCCAATAATGAGACGAGTATAACATTTAACTTTAGTCATCATTCAAAAATTTTAAATCCGTTTTTTTTCAAAATTTGGTTCAAGACTTGTTTCCAATAAGAAAATGTGCCTATTTGGTTCAAAATTTTTTAAAGAAATATTGAAAAATACATAAAAACAGCCAGCAGGCTAACTAAAATTTGGTCTAAAAAAATGATGATGCTCAATGGGTTAAAAAGTAAATTGGTTTATTTGTGTTTTTATTAGAAACATATGCTCTTAATAGTGCTAATACAGTGCAGTTTGAGCATACCCAACTTATTAACCTTTTCACCACTAGACTTTCTCGCTCAAATTTTTCTGCACTTTTTTCTTATATTCTTCAATATTTCTGCAAAATTAACCCTAATTTTGGAGCCAACTGACAACATTTGAGTCAATTTTCGGTTTTTAATTAAATAATTTGGCTATATATCTCATGCATGCGTGGCGCGACGCGACGACTACCGCCCTTTAAACTAGGTAAACTAGTAAATTAAAACAATGTTTGTGGTAAATTTTTGTTCTAGCGGTTCAACTGGCAAACCTAAAGGTGTTCTGCATACTACTGCTGGTTATATGCTGTACACAGCAACAACGTTTAAATACACGTTTGATTATCACCCCGGCGACGTCTACCATTGTACGGCTGATATTGGGTGGATCACCGGACATAGCTATGTAGTATATGGTCCTATGGCTAATGGGGCAACCAGTGTTATGGTGAGTGATATCCATTATTCTATAACCATGTCTAGTCGAATGTTTGTGACCATCTTTGGGTAGTTCCGCTGCAATTTACCTAAAGGTGATCATATCCTTATAATATCTGTATAAAAGCCAACATACTGGTAGACTTCTCTCAGATGTGTTCATTTCGTTATGTTATCTTCAATAATCTAATTTTAATGAATATTTTTGTCTTTTTTAGTAAAAAGTGATATTTTCGACTTTTTGTTAAAATCTGCAAGTATGTTAGCTTTTATGTTATGTTTATGTTATGTACCTTGGGCAGATTTCTCTTTGATTTGTTCATTTCGTGATGATATCTTTAATTATCTAATTTTGATGAATATTTTTCTCATTTTTGGTAAAAAGTGATATTCTTGTTAAAAACCACAAGTCTGATTGCTTTGATACTAAACATATTGTTCATTTTCTAATGATATCTTCTGTTCTTTAATTGCAATGTGCATTGGTAACAGCAGAGCTATCTCAGCTGACAGGCTGCTTGTTAATATTGTAAAAATACTACTGATAATAGCAGGGATTAATTTTCACTGAAAAGTAATTTTTGCTGTCATGTGTGAAGTTTATTTTCACTAATTTTTGATGAGTTGAATGTAAAAAATATTAAAAATATACTCCAAGTAAAAATAAATTCATTTTGCTGAATTATTCCCCTGACAGTAACAAGTCATGGGGAACAATTCAGAAAAATGTCTGTATCAAAAGTGAATTAGGGACAACATCAAAAGTTCAATGTAGGATAAAAAACCTAATTCCTTTAGTTTTTTCCCAAAAGAATGAAATTCTAAGGTCTAAATAAAACCGTTTTTGTAGGATGGAAACTTTTTGAGGTCAAAATCCGACATCAATCTTTTGACGTCGTCCCTTAACTATGTCATCTTTAAATACGTCAGACATTGATTAGTTTTCTTTCTAATATTACCTATATTCTCAATTATATTTCAGTTTGAAGGTGTTCCAACTTATCCCGATGCTGGCCGATGCTGGGAATACGTTGACAAGTACAAGATTAATCAATTCTACACAGCTCCTACAGCAATACGTTTACTTATGAAACACGGTAAAAGTTTTGTTGAAAAGTAAGAATAAATCAATTTCAGATATGTTATTTTGAAAGTTGACAAATATGTGATATACACACACTGTATATAACTGTTTAAAATTACAGGGGTTTTTCTAAACCAGGGAACAGGGGCACAGCGCACTGATACTCTCGGTTGGCGCCCTCTTACCGAATTGCCGAATGAACTGTCAAGTCATAAATATATTTCTTGAGCTGCATACTTCCGTGCTGCCGTACAACATGAAATCTTTCTCAAATATATGTTTCTCAGTGAAAACTTCCCAGCAACACAAGCTGACAATGTCTCTAGACACCAAATACTCTAAAATTAATCCAACAATATTTCAATGACGATAAATACACTGTTAAAACGGCACAGAAACCTTCCGATATGGAGTTTCCAGGTCGATCGCCTGTGTGTGCTCCCTCTAGTTCATTTTTTCTAGAAAAACCCCTGCAAAATATCTAGGTTTAACTCTACAGGGGATAAAATAAACATGCAATTTCCATAGAAAAATTAGTGAACATTTGCTTAATATCGTTAGGCCTTGCATGCATGATATAAGGTCTTATATGAACAAAGATGGTAACTGATTACCAAACTAAACTAGGTAATTTCATTTGTTATTGGAAGGTATCGAATGAATCACCCTTTGTATTTGGTACATGTTGTGCCTTGGTCACAACTCATACTTGTGTTTCCAATAGAAGAGCGCATTGGATTGTGAGAAAATCTATGTTTCTCAGCACAAATGTCGCACATGCATGGTCCAACAACCACCACACTTCAACAATGAATGGTTGTACTTCCTTCACACTATAGTGCTTCTGTATCCAATTTAAACATAGGAAATGTTCAATAACGTGAAATGATGTCAATGTTAGTGATGTTGTTTACCCCTACATAGCAAAATATGAACATTGGAATGACAGCATTTTGAAATGAAAGAATG